GAACCACTGTCAGGATGTAGCATTTATCATTGGAATGAATAATCTTGTGTGACTGCTTTGTCTCATGTTTTGCCAGTGTGAAAAGCAGGAGTTGCTCCACAGTAGAAAAGTGCCCAATAGAAAGGAAGGGTTTGGGAACCATAAACACATCAGAGATGGTTCAAAATCTCCTTTTCCTAGCAGATTAATAAGGGACATATGCTAAGACCACACACAATTTAGGCTGCCTTCACCTAAAGCCACTTGAATAAAACTAGGCATATTACAAAGACTGTACAGACATAACACGGACCCAGGGAAATTAAGTTTCTACCTCTAAACTGACTACTCAAGCCCCTTTTCCCCTCCAATAAGTGCTTACTATGCTGGTAAGGAAAGGCAGAAGAGACAGAAAGTGAGCCTAAATTCCTTGTAAGAGATATAAGCAGGTGACTTAAACGTTTGAGATATAGCCAAAACCCACAGATTTATTAGTACCCTGCCAAGGCACTGGGATGCTTTTCTATAGATGATGCAATTCCTGGGCATACCAACAAAACTACTAATGTCTTAATAGGCATCCTGACATGTTGCAAGGTTAGGCCACTTTTTGGACAGATGTGTTTAATAGCTCTTTTTTCACTCTAAGATAGCCATGTCTTATGTAGGTTATACAGCTCTGGAGAAATGAGCTGAATAAAGTTTAGCCTTTATCCTGGTTATCTTCCTATAGCAAGAATGAAGCATTCCATTTCTATTTGAAAGTGCAAAAAGTGTCCTGTTCATCTCAGATCTCTATTTGTGATTAAACAAAGAGGAGCAGCAACTAAGCTTTCTGGTCTGCAAGCACATTTCTTCTTGAAATGTTATCGGAAGACTGCTAGAAGAGCACTCCGTGTACACGCTGGGAAGAGCAAGCAACGTTGACACCTACTGTTGGGTATCTTCATTGCTGACAGTACCCGGCTACTGACTACAACATTCTTGTAAAGCCGGAGGAAGGTGCTCCCCTTAGTTAAAACTACATGCTAATACCTTTATTTTGCTTTTATTCTGCCTCTCGCAGTGTTTTCAAGGTGCATTTAATTGCAAATGGAGAAGCTGCATGTGCAGGGAAACTTACTTCTTCAACTCAATTTCTTCCTTTAATTCATGGAATTAGATGATCCTTTTGGAGTGAGATTTTTTTATGAGGCTGGCTGATAAAAATGAAGGAGCTGAAAACGAATGCTGCTAGTATCAGACAAGGCTGTGCTGTATGCTAAGAGAGAGAGCATGCTGATTCTCAGGAGATTCAACCCTTCTAGCTCATAAGGAAATGAAGTTCCCATACAGATCTCTTGGAGCGTATCAGAAAGCACTACCCAGCCAAGTATACAGCATGGGTCTGAAAGAAAGAGTTTTACCATAGTGCCAGATCATATTTAACACCCTTAAAGTGCTTCACACAAAAAAGTTATTCATTCTTATTTCCTTGATGCATGGCTGGTTTTTTTCCAGCCCATGAAAGAGAATTTAAGCATAGGATGAAATGACTCTCCCAAGAGGCGAAGGAAAAATCTAGCAAGCTGGCAGGAAGCGCTTACCCCTGTGTCTTCCCTCCAAACATTACCCTTTTCCTCCCAGAAACTTTCAGCAAACTAGCTTCACAGACTTTCCACAATTCTGAATAGCTTCCTAGTGTTCATATTAACAATTTGTGAAAAGAGATAAGAGAAAAAGGCTCAAGAGCTGGAAATGTGACAACATAGAAGATAACCATGCCCATAGTTGCTCCTATGGTAATCTGTATTACTCCAAGAAATATTGCTTCTCCCTGCTAGTCCCATAGGGTATACATATATACGTACATGCAGACATATCTGGGAGATACTCTCGTAGGAAAATTCCCAAGGGATTTCCACGAACACTACCCCACACTAGGGAGGACCATTCTGGCAACAGATTTTCTCCGTGACGGTAGTAAGTTCTGTGTCTGCTGTGATGAACGGCAGGCTGGCAGCCCAAACAGGCATAGCTCTCCCCAGGTTTGGGATTTTTGCAAAATCATATAGCTTCTCACATCCAAAAAATAAACACAGAATGCATTTATGATAGCTCAACAGCATCTTTGCATTGCCAATGTGATAGGAAGCAACCTCGCTTCACTTGGAAGTCCATAGCCAGATCTTTCATATAGCTAGCCAAGGACTCACCTACCTCATATATGTCTCTGCATTGATAACATGACCTGCGGCTGTCCTACCGCTGCTATCAGCACAAACGCCTGTATCGGCTGTCAGCTCCAATCTCCCTGTGCCAGGAGACCGATACCTGTACGTCTGCATCCAGATAAGGGTTGGGATAGGGCTTTCCAAAACACATGATGCCATTGCATTGACCTTTACATTTCTCCCTGTTTTAGCCTTCCACAGTGACCACAGCTCACCGCAGGAGGGTTGGACTAGATGACCTCTAAAGGTCCCTTCCAACCCAAATGATTCTATGATTCTGTGACCTGCCTAACCTCCACAGCAAGGGCAAGGAGAACAGCCTGATAATAGGGGTGTCTCCAGCTGGAGTGTTAATGCCCATTGTGCTGGTATCATTTTTTTGCGATACTGATCTTTACCAAGTTTCGTAATGTTTGTCCATCTTTGTTGATACAAGATTTGCGTGAAATGAGAGGAGCGTATAAAAGTGGGAAACGCTCTGCACCAGATCAGTCCTCGTCAAAGATGGCGAAGCTCACTTTGCTTACCGGTAAGTCCCGCTTCAAAATTTAATTCTCTACCTATATGACAAGTATTTGTGGCTCTTTCAGTGTTATACTGGGTGGCTGTACTGGGGGTTTTGGGGATTAAAAATGCTGCACTCTCTTTTCTGCCAAAAACATAGCAGTTTACTTTCAGGACGGATAGATATATTTTTAGTACTGCTGGAGTGGATATGACAGGCTTTGAAAATGAATAGAATTCATAGCTGTTTGAAATTGAAATGTGCTTTTTTAACAAAAATCTAAAAATCAAAATACTTCATTGTCCTTTCTTTGGTTTCTTTTCTATGTTTTTACCTGAAATCATTTGACAAATTTTACCTGCTTCCATAGAAACACTCAGCTGACCCACGCTTGAGAATACACAGATTCTTGTATGTTTTTTATAGAAAACAGTGATCACAAGATAAAGATATATTGGGTTCAGTCCAGTCCTGTACAAGAATTTTGTATTTCTAAGTGCAAACACTAAAACCTTTGTTCTTTAACTTTTTTTTCTTTAAAGGTCTGGCCCTCCT